CCCCAAAACCCCAAAACCCCAAAACCCCTTCCCAACTTTGTAAATTGAGAATTTAAACACTAATTGAGGGGACTCCTTGCTTTTTCTTTAAGGAGCTTCCTGATCGAGATGTTTTCCGTGGAAGTCGCCCCTTTTAGATACCGCCTTTTGATCCCTCTTTCCATTAAGAGACTGACGCCTAAAAATTTAGATAATTTTCTTACTTATTTCAGGAGATTTTATCCTTCTGTGCATCTGATTTCGGGTTTTTACAACGATATTCGGGTAATGTGATGTAAAAGTGTACTCCATTCAAGCTCTTTTTCTACATGCAATATGGGTATTTTGTGATCAAAGTTTGTGGTACCACTCTTTTATATCAAATTTCTGATGGAATGAACTATTTTGGCTTCCTGATATAATCTCCTCCTTCACTCACTGAGTCGTTATCACTGAAAAGTCTGATCTCTTTGATCATATTGTTCATGTTGTTTCCAAATGAGGATCTTAGTGGGCTTCCAGCTCCACCATCAACAGTAAGTCTATGTTTGAAACTATGATCTTTTAGTTTAGTAACGGTTAGTGTTGGCCTTTTCAATTTTCGAATGGAAGACCTCCTTTTATGTTTTATAGGCACTTCCTCTTTCTTTTCAGAATGCTTCTGAGACTTTGTCAGTTCACTTAAGTTATTAGATGATGTCCCTTTCCCAGATTTGCTGGTCTAAAACAGTATAAGTGTTTGTAAGACATTATAGTCCCCCAAAATTTGATTAAAACTCTCTGGTTTCTTACGATATGGTCTAATAATTTCTTATCAAGAGACTGGTTGGAGAGGATCTTTGCCATGCCTCTTTTGCTTTTTCTAAAAATAAAATTTGCAGATACTTAGAATATGTATTGCCTTGGGAGGTATCAAGGATGTCGTATTTGCTGCACATTTTGAACTTCATATTATGCTTATTTACTCTTATAACTCCTTGTGGCTTTCTTCTGCTTGTTAATAACCACCTCTTCTCCTGGTTTATGCTTCATTATCCCTAAAAATAAATTATTAAACAAGCTATGCTTCATTGGATGCATGCAGAAGCAATGGAAGTTAAATTAGGCTCTTTTTAAAGTAAGGTTAAGCTGAGAAATTGAGGTTTTGGTAGAGATCTGTGGAGTTCAGATTTTGAGCGTATAATTTTTGATAAATTTGACAGTGAGAGGGGTTTTGGCTGAAAAAGAGGTTGGAAATGCGATAAATTAGATTTTTCTGGATTTTGGGGTTTAGAGTTGAATTTTTTGAGATATTGGGTTTTTCGAGGGTTTTGAGAGAGGTGGGAATTGGGGGTTTTGGATGATGAATTTAGAATTTGGAAAATTAGGTGAATGTAGCTGAAGGATTTTTTGGAGTGAAAGGTTTGAGGTGCTCTTGGCAAGGTGTTTTAAATTTTATAAAATATTAATAGAGTTTGATGGCTAAAATGAGTATGTACCTTGAATGATTTTTCTGTATCTGCACTCGGGATCTACTACAGATTTAGCGATAGCTATCCATCCTTTATCCTCTTCTGGCATTGATTCATAATCTTCAGGTGGATGATCAAAAGCCGGAAGTTTTCCTTCTTTAAGATCAGTTTTATCATAATTTAAAATTCTTCTAATATCTTCTGGAGAGAAAATTCTTACTCTTCCTAAACAAGTTTTACAACACTAGTAACAACATTAATCATATCAAATCTGCAACACCCCCAAAATTTGCCCAATTCCCATCAGATTTCTTCAAGATCTTCCAACCCTCCCTTCCAGTCCCGCTTACCACCCAAACACCCTTCTAATCATCCTAAACTCCTCTCAATTTCCTCAACTGGCCAAAGTCCTATCCTAAAATTTCGCACAAGATTTCTAAATCTCTTCTAATTCCTTGCTTAATGCCCAAATTCCTTCTCCTTCTTCCTGCTTTCAGCCTCTAGCTTGGGGCCCCAAGCTAGAGGCCGAGAGGGACATGAAGTAGGCCAGAATGTGCTTGTTAAGAAGGACTTACTTTTCATGTTGACAAGTGGAGTTTTTGGAAAAGTTAATTTTATTCTCAGATTTTTGAAATTTTGGGGTTTTGGGGTTTTGGGGTTTTGGGGTTTTGGGG